GTGCCCGCTCACTGGCTGGGCGAGGCGCGGGAGCAACACCGAGGGTTGCGATCCCGTGGCCGGTCCCGGTCCGGTGTGGGCACGACACTGAGGGTTGCGATCCGTTGCCAGGCATGAAAAAAAAAGACAAAAAGGAAAAAAAAAAAAAAAAAGTCTCTACACTAATCATTAGGGAAATGTCAATCAAAATGACAGTGAGAAACCACTGCACACCCATTAGGATGGCTATTATCAAACAAACAACAAATAAAAAACAGAAAATAACAAGTGTGGGCAAGCATGTAGAAAAACTGGAACTTTGTGCACTTCTGGTGGGAATGCAGAATGGTGCGGCCACTGTGGAAAACAGTGTGGCAGCTCCTCAAAAAATTAAACATAGAGTTATCATGTGATCCAGCAAGTCCACTTCTGGGTATAGACCCAGAAGAATTGAACACAGGGATTCCAAGGGCTATATGTACACCCGTGTTCATAGCAGCAGTATTCACAACAGCCAGAAGGTGGAAACAAGCGTAGTGTCATTGATGGATGAATGGATAAACAAAATATAGTATATCTGTACAGTGGCATATTATTCAGCCTTAAAAAGGAAGAAAATTCTGATGCATGAGACAACATAAATGAACCTTGAAATCATTATGCTAAGAAAAATAAGCACACAAACACAAACGGACAGATACTGTATGATTCCACTTATGTGAGGTCCCTCATAGTCAAATGCATAGAAACAGAAGGTACAACGATAGTGGCCAGGGGCTGAGGGAGTTAGTGTTTAACAGGTGCAGAGTTTTGGCCTGGGAAGGTGAAAAAGTCCTGCGGATGGATGGTGGTGCTGGCTGCACAACCATGTGAATATTACTTAACACTACTGAACTGCTGTAGACTGATGCCCCCCCCACCCCCCGCCAACCTCATTGAAGCTTAAATCCCCACTATGACAGTTGAGGGTGGGAAATCTTATTACGGTCATTGAAAGGTGGGGCCTTGAAGAGGGGATTAGATTGTAGTAAATGGATTAATAATGGTGGCCAAGGGCATGGTTCTGAGGGCTTTAAAAGAAGAGCACACGAGAGGTTAGTCTCTCTCTGCTCCACCTTTTCATAATGTGACACCCTGCATCACCGTCGCCACCACAAAGACCCTCCCCAGATGTGTGTTCCCTGCACTGTGGATTTCCCAGCCTCCAGAACTGTAAGCAATAAATTTTGTTTTTTTTATAAATCACTCAGTCAGATATTTATGTTATAAGCAACAGAAACAGACTAATACATGAACAGTACACTTAAAAATAGTGATGGCCAATTTTATGTTATGTCTATTTTACCACAACAAAAAAAAATTGGGAAAAAAAGAGTCGTAGTATGCTACAAAAACCTTCCTGAGTTGTCCCCACTCAAAGTCCTCAGTCTCGTTTCTCCTCTATCCCACCCACTTCACACTCCGAGTATCTAAAAGTCTACAAGTCACTCGGGGAAGAACCCACCGTCTCTTCCTTTCATCTCTTGCCTCTGGTCCCACCCATGATCTGTGGCCATTCCAATGCTGCCATTCCATTCCTGGAAACCCCCCACGGAGCTGTGCAGTCTGTCCCCACCGCACTGTGTTCACAACCATGTGGCCGTGACCTGAAGACTGACCCTGCCATATGAAGGAGGGAGGGAGTGCGTGTCCCTGCACGTTACCTATACGCGTAGGTAAGGCTGGGTTCACCCATCTCAGCGTCTTCTACCTCTCTGCAGAGGTCCGGGATCATTTCAGTTGCCCAGCAAACAACTTTTGAATGGAAGTGGGTTAAGGAGTAAAGAGAACAGAAGCCTGGTAAGGGTCAGAGCTGAAATGTCCTATGTCCCTCCCCCCCCCCCAGCGAGGCCATGGGGATAGTTTAAACAGTGTGATGTTTTCATGCTGGTTGGTAACTAGTCAGGGCCCTGCACCCTGCCCCTCATGTCCCCTTCTGTGCCCTGACCACCCCTGCCTCTCAGCACCCCTAGTTCTCTCCATGAGCCCACATCTAAAGGGTGACCCCGGCACAGCAGAGAGCCTCAGGATCCCACTCCAGCATCTCAGCCAACAGCCAATCCAAACCTTTGGTGCCCATGCCTGGTGTGTTGTTAAGTATTTTGTGGTACGGTTCCACTTGCGTTGATAGTTTCAGACAGGAACAAACAGAAGAAGAGGTCCACAGGGTGAGAACACACTGGCCCGTTCTCAGCAACTCGGTCTCACTGCCCGGGCAGGCAAGTTTCAGATGCTCACTGCCAGCACATCAAGGGTAAGGTGGCCCTGGCAAGAAGCAGAGTGGTGGGCGGCTGCCTTGTGGGCACAGAAGCACTCTTGGCTCTATGACAAGCAGGAAGGAACAGCTTTGGAAAGCTTTCTCCCCAACCCTCCACCCCTCCCCGCATGGATTAGACAAGTACAGTCTGGAATCAGGGCAAACTAGCATTGGAAGGAGCCCTGCTGGCCGCAGGGCAGACTCTTGTCCCTACTGAGTGGCCCTGCAGATAGGCAGGTTACATTATATCCTGTGTATTTTCAGGTAATGCCAAAGTCAGGGTGTTTCTTTTCCAGCAGGGCAGAAATGCTGCCTACGTAGTGTTCGAAGAAGGAGACGGTGGCTGTTTACCTTCAGATACAGACATCCTGAGTTACTGCAGGCTGGTTTGGACACGTAGGACTTGAAGCAGAGAATAGTGAAGTACTAGATGGGACTAACAAGGAAGTGAGTCAGTGCAATTTGTCAGATCCTGCGTTATGGCCCCTCATGCTAATTTTTAAGTGGTAGAGGTCACGGGGGACTGCGAAGCCGCGTTCCATGACCCACTGCCGAGAGAGAGAAATAACCTCATAATTTCTCAATGCAATGGTCCACGGGACGATGCATGTTGGGGCCTTATATTGATTGTCCAAATCTCAGCAGGTTTGGCAGGACAGGACTGTTGGTGTCCATGGCTGTGGATTGTTTGAGAGAGAGAGTATCCTCAAATGAATGAGGAATAAAGCATACAACACACAAATGCACACACACACACACACTGTGTGAGAGGTGCATGCACCAATGTGGTATAAAAGTAATAAATTCATGTGAATATGGTCTCAAAAATGCATGGGATTTTATTTATGAGTAAGAGAATAAAAGGGGAAATTATCTTACCATTGGTGCCGGAGTGAACCTGAATACAGTACACTGCTTTTCTGGTGATGAAGGCCTCCGCATCCGTCACGAGCAGGCTGGTGACATGGACTGGCTCCGGCACATGTAGAGTCCATCAGCACTGGGCCATGCACATCCTTACCCATGCTGGCTGAGTTCATCGCATTTCGTTTCCCTGGAAGGGACTTGAAGTTGCTGCATGAAGATTACACGTTAGTGGTGGGAAAAAGAAAAAAACCATCAAAACGCGGCTTTCTTGACTAGTTTTCCGTAGTGGGCAGGGGTGCCGTGGGAGTTGGGAACCATTTCTTCCCGCTTGGCTGGCATTTGTCTCTTATGGGTCGATATATTTGGAGGAGAAAAGTGCTCTCTCTGTAATTCCAGGCCACCTGGCAAGGAGCAGCATTCCAGCAGAGGATGGTCGCAGCCCTTCTTGTCGGCCACTCGCTGGCAACTAACAGAAGCTCAGGTGCCCACAGCACATCACCAAGAAGGAAAGACTTGATCCCACACAATTCCCACGGGCTTGGCTCAGGTTCCCAGGGTTTGCACAGGCCCCAGAGAGAGCCTCTGCACCAGGGACCTGCCACAGGGGCAGCCACGCCATACTGTCACCCTTCCTGCCCCACCGAAACATTTCTTCTTCCCATTCCTCTCTCTTAGACAATATTTTAACTAATACTTGTTTGATATTTTAATTAAACAGGATTAAATAAAGTCCTGAGTTCCCTTGAGCAGAAAGTTCAGCGCCTCGAAAGGAGCCAAAGAACGAGTTCGCTGGCTGTTTCCATGAGGAAGGGAAGCTGCTGGAACATGGGCTCTCTGCCCTCGCAACTTCTGGAGTGGAGGTGAGCGAGGGGCTCCCGTAGGACATGGACCCTGATCCACGAGCTCACAGTGGCATCTCGTCAACAGCTCTTACCACTTCAGTGACTGGATGAAGATTCCTCCAGGGCATGCCTCTCCATCTGCGTGTACTTGGTGGTCAGCACGGGTGTGAGCAGGGCTTGAGTTCCCTATAATCTCCTATACTAACCCAGGATCTGGGTGCTCTTCTGTACTGGGGGGTGGGTGGCAGCAGATGGTGGTGCTTAGCAATTTGGGTGTGAGCCTTCATAAGTCTTCCTTTGCAAATCACTCCTAAAAGTAACTTACAGGGAAGTTTCCAAAATCCTTCAGGCAAAATGTTTCCTGGGCATGCATGGACTCAGGCCAATCCACACCATTGTGGACTCCCTGAAGACACTGAGGCAGGGGCAGGCCTAGGGAAGATGGCCAGGATCCTGCGATGGAATTTAAGGTCTTAGATTGCCACCAAAATACCTTCCCCTACTAAGCTTGTCATCAAGTCTGAAATTCATCCCTTTGGTGAGGCTGTGGTTCTGAACACCAGCTGCACATTCAAATCACTTGGGGGGCTAAGGCCGTCAGTATCAACTCGAAGCTTCCACCAAAGATTCTGGTCCAGTGGTCTGGGGTAGGGCCTGGACATCAGATTTTTAAAAGCTTTGCAGATGATTCTAATGGGTGATCAGGATTGAGAACCCTCACTGAAGGAGCCATGGAGCCTCAGATCAGAGTTCCCAGCCAGCATTTGTGAAATTGTTCCAAGAGGATTCCTATCAAGAGGTGCTAATAGCACCTGCTTCTATTTTCATTCTGAAATAATAATCAAATACAATAAGTATTTCAAGACTGTTGCCTTTCAAACCCCACAGCTTGCAGCCTCTAGCTGCCCAGGAGCAAGACCACATGGCCCTCGGTGGAGGACGGCTTGGCCTGGCCACTCAGTTTGCCAAGTACAGCTAGTCATGCTGCTTCTGACAGCCACAAAATTTTACATTATTCTTAATCTTAGTATCACATGGATTAATTCATACCCAGAATGGGCCACTGGTTAAATAAATGAGGCATTCAGAATACTGACATTTAAATACAAGTTTATGGGGAAAATAACAATCATTCCTCAAATAAGTCTCAAAATTTTACCAATTACACTCACTGAATTGAAATTATCTTAAAGGACATCACAGTCTCTAGTATCTCAAAACCATTGTCCACAAGAAAAAATATGGTGACTATTTTATCCAATTGCTTTTCTATCTATTAAAAATAAAACTTAACAAAAGAACACCCTCTCATCATTTAAAAAAAAATGAAAATTTTCTAAAATTGAGTCCATAGTCCATTTTTGATGCCCTTAAAGATGGTTTAGTTCAAGCTGCATTTTAATTCTTGTTGTTTGCCCAAAACACACGCAATATAACAGGTCATTTTAAGATTGGGTTGTTATAAACTGTGCTTTCTCATATAAGATAAAAGTATGTTAAATAGCACAAGCTACTCATTAAATGAGAAAAAGTAAAAATGTGTCAAATAAATGATGATCATCATTAATATTACCTTAGAAACACTTTGTAAGGCCTCCTTTGATATCATATTGATCTAAAATAAGATACTAAAATTAAAATAGCATTTAGTCAATGACATGTAAAAATAACAATTTTTTTTTTATTTTAAAGGGTTTTTTTCAGATTATACATTATGTGAAAGGGGTGCATGGGTCAGAAACCTCTGGGAAACAGCGTCTTTTCCTTAACTTGGTTATTTCTCAGAATCACACAGTGAGCTTGTTAAACAGAGACTTCTGGTCTCACCCAGATCTGTGATACAGAATCTCCAAGAGGGATGGCAGTGCCTCTATTTTTAATAGGCACCCACAATGACTCTGATGATGAAACACCCATCTTTTCATAAAGCAGTTCTCTGAGGCAAAAAGAAGCCAGAAAAGCAGGTTTGTTGGCTGACAAAATAACAAAGGAGGCCAGATCTGAGCACAGTCCTGCCCTGGAAGATCCTAGAAAGCCAGGGTAAAGGCAAGAAGACCTGGAAGAGATGGATCAAGGACTAGGTGAGACCCAATTACTTATCTCAGGTCTGTCTCTTACCGTGTGACCTTGGGAAAGCTATTGACCTCAGCTTTCCTCAACTTATACAGATGGGGACAAAAAAACCCCCATCAGCCTCCTAGGATTCTGGTAAGGATTAAACGAAATCATCTAGGCAAAGTATTTGGACCCAAAGCAGCTAAACATTAGTATAGAACCCAAAGAGAAGCTGGGAATGGCTTTGAAGAGTGATCGTAACTCTGCCTTTGACCTATCTTGGTGAAATTATCATATTTTTTTAACTCATAACTGTAACTCGTCTGTTCTCCTATTCTTTTAAGGATGTACAGTTTATTCTTAAATCCCACCAATCTGGGATCCCATGTAATTTCACTCGGCTGGCACTTCAGTAATTAAACACTCTCTCCAAAGCTGAAAATTATAATTCTTTGGTGGTGATCAAGTTAGAGCCTTTGGTGAACAGGGTTAAACAATGCTGTGTTCTTAATGTTGTTTCTATGGGGTTTTCTGGGTGAACATGAGCGTTCTGGAAAAAGGGAGTTTTATAACACTAACCTCTCTTGAATAAGGGAAGAAGCCAGGTTGGGAGGAGGGGAGCTGCACATGCTGAGAGCTTTGATTTAATTCTCACCAAAAGCATTCTTTTATTTAAGATCTTTCAGACATGAAAATGTGATTGTTAGCTAGGCTTACAAATTGGAGGTACAATTCGGAAGACTGTAAAGAAACTCACTGGAAGCATACAGGCTGGTAATGAGATTAGAGGCTCAACTCTCAAGACATCAGGCAGGATAAAATACATATTCAAATGCCCTCCTGTGCCCTTCAGGAAGCCAGGGATGGGCTCCCAGGTGGACCAAATAGATGTTATGCAAATACAGTGGTACATATTAGTCCGAGGAGCAATGAAAAATAGAAAGAAAGTAATCTTGAGGCCTCCTTTTCCTTAAAGAAAAGATGTGCCTGGTTCGGAACTGCCCCCCTGGGAGGAGCCTGTGCAGAGTGCGGTGGGGAGCTCTGGAAGGCACAGGCGCGTGGGCCCCCGCCTGGCTGCTGCGGACCCTGAAGATGCACACTGAGCAGCAATGGAGGGAAAGGAGAGAAAAGAGAGCAATGATCCCTTCCATCTTTATCCCTCGTGCTTAGGCACGGCCGCTCTCAATCTACGGCAGAGCTGATGGTGTTTTCCTATCTCTACCCGCCTCTCAGACACAGTGCTCTTAACTGACTGACATCATTAGCATATTTCAGCAGAAATTCTCACAGCAGAAGTATGCCGCACGGTGATCATTCTTTCTGTCGGAAGAATGGAATTAGAAGTTTGGGACATTCCTGTTCATGAAGTTGCATTTCCACAGGTTCTCTCCCTGATGATTTTCCCCCTAGACTACAGACCAACTAAAATCCAGGACAAGAAATGCGTACGTGACTTTCATAGGGAGAACATGAGATACCTGCTATGACAAATCTAATGTGTCATTTTAAATTTACTAGAAAGGTCTAACATGGGTGCCTCTCAAATTGTGAACGCAATCTGTGAGTAGGCTCATTACCATGGAGAAAGTGTCTCCTAAAATGAGTGAGAAAATTAGGACAGCTATAAATGGTCTGATTTCTGGGCGTGTAGAAAAAACATGGGTGCCTCTCAAATTGTGAACGCAATCTGTGAGTAGGCTCATTACCATGGAGAAAGTATCTCCTAAAATGAGTGAGAAAATTGGGACAGCTATAAATGGTCTGATTTCTGGGCATGTAGAAAAGCCCCAAGCCATATTTCCCAGTAGCACGCTGTAGAAAGTATGGCCAGCATGGCCACAACTAAATGCTAAGCAGCATTCTGAGGAGCTCACATTGATTACAGTCAGGGACGTGGTGGCCATTGCTCACATTATGCCACAATTTCCTTCTACTTTGAAAACAAAACCATGGTGGAATTAAAAATTGATATAGGAACTTACCAGGGGTACCAGATGATCAGCTTCTAGAATATCATCTTTCCTGCAGTTGCCAAGAGACCGGTGTGTAATTCATGATCTCTTAGGCTAACAAATCTAAAGTTAAAAAAGATAACAAACACCCTGACCACCTAGTTACTTCTCGAGACACAGAGCGATTGTTTATCTTTTATTAAGAAGCAGCCAAAAGTTCAGAAGAATTCTCCACTTATACTGGCCAGCTCTCACTTGATATGCCAACTGGTAGTAAAAATCTGTTGCATGGATGGATGAATGAATGAATAAGTGAGTAGTGAAGGATGAAAAAATGCAGATAAAGAGGGACTTTTACAGGGAGAGAAAGGTAGTGTTGGATAAATATATTTTCTTTAAATTGAAAAATGAAAAAAATTTACACACTAAAAAACCCTGCTTATTTGGATAAATAGTCATAAGTTTTGCATCTGGTTTTATAGTCAGCAAACCAACACCGAGAAAGACAGCTTCTCTCAAGATCACCAATAAAGTTCAGAGGCGTTTAGGAGTTTCATTTCCTTAGGAAGTGTGCTTATTCATACCAGTTGTCATAGAAACTTTTCTTAAGTGGTGCTTTCCGGCCATTCTGTTGTTTCGTAGAGACCACCAAGTACTGGATCAAGAGAGGGAATTCAAAAGTCCCCTATACCTTCAGCCCCCTCCTCCCCTCTCCCCACAACGGAGAGCACTGTGTGTTAGTCTTTCTCTCAACTTAAGAGTGCCTGGAAATGCCTTTTGTTGGAAAACACCAACTGCTCCTCACAGCTCAGAGCCAATACAGAGGAAAAGTCCAGCTATTAGGGATAAACCTCATGAGGCAGGAGGCAGTGGAAGCCTTCTGGAAGCCAGTGCAAGCTTCCTGTGCAGTTGGAATATCTAATTTGGGAGGATTTTGGATATGTGGAGATATTTTTACCCACCTTACTAAAATGCTTTTAATTCTATATTTATATGAAACAGTTAAATGTCTTGAAAAACAGCCTAAATAATATACTCAGTCAGGCCTATTTGTTGTCCTGCAAGTTCCAGTGTGAACGAGGGTATTCCCAGATTCAGTGTCACTTCCCTGCCAGTCACCCTTCCTCAAGTCTTCCACCCCGAGAAGTGACATGAACAGCCACAGCAACAGGGAAACGAAATTTGAATGTGCCCAGTCGCTTCCTGATATCCTGAGCTATTAATTTTATTCATTTTTAGGAGTCCACTTCAAACCTTTTTTTTTTTCTTTTTTTTTCGTGACCAGCAACAGATCGCAACCCTCAGTGTCACGCCCGTACCGGACCGGGACCGGCAACGGGATCGCAACCCTCGGTGTTGCGCCTGCACCTTGCTCAGCCAGTGAGCGGCCGGTCTGTATGTGGGATCCGAACCCTCGGCGGGAGCGTCGCCGTGCTCTCAAGCGGCGCACTGTAGCAGTGTGCCA